GAGCTGTCCAACTTTCTTTCATATCTGTGGCTTTAGATAATACAGGGAGCACTGCAATATTTATATCTTTAACTCATGAAACATGACAAGTGGGCTGACAGAGAGAATGAAATTAGCATGCTGGTGTCAATTTAATATAAAGTGCATTAGTAAATTTAATGAGGAGAGACAAAAATGACAGTCACAAATGTTTTAAATTGGCTACAGTGATATATGGCCTCTGTCATTTTTGGATATCTATCTCTCCATTATTTTATTTTTATATGATCAAACAGACTTTGACCCAGGAGGTGGATTCATCTAGCATGCTGATTTGGCTACTGTATTAAAGCAATTTTTAGTTTTTGTTTCTAGTTCCAGATGTATAACCTAGTTAAATGAGCTGGTTTTGCATGGTATACTAAACTAGAGATAGACTCATTAAGATTAGAATGTTATGGGAATGATAACAGTTGTGTCTTTGACAGATCTGCTTAAACTTATGTGAAATCAGCCACTATATTTAATAAAGACTTTATTCATATGTTTGCTTTGCTGTTTGTTTAAATATCAAGCTTAGAGACTCCCTTAATCATAATTTCCAATCCTAGGCAGATTACAGCAATAAAAAAAACAAGAACATAAAAAAACCCTCAATAGTACCAAAAAGTATTATTTTCAAAAGTCCTAAAACCTAGTACAAAGCTGTATAATACTACTTCAGCCTTCAATTTTAAGGTTTTACAAAAAGCCCAGCAAGGTTGGCCAATAGGGACATATGGTGGAAGCATGTTTCAGAGGGCAGGATCTGACATAGATGACGTTGCCTTACTGATGAGACCAATAGTGAGCCGTCTTACTGGATGGACAGAAATAGCCAGAGAAAGACAGAACCAGAGGTATCCAGATTCCAAACCATAAAGATAGTTATGTGCATCACCAGCAACTTAGATGGCACCCAAAAGCCAAATGGCCAAAAGCCAAAAGCTTAAAAATTATAGTTATTACATGAATAAACTAAGAAAGACCAATTATCATTGTATTCTAAACCAGCTGTAGCTTCCAAGTAGTCTTTTAGGGCAGTTTCTTGTAGTGTAGTCATTGGAAAGGTAGGGGACTAAATTATGAATGGCCTCACTGGGAATGGCCTCACCTAGTGACCATAAAGCAGGGTCAGAGCTTTTGTCTCCCCCACCAATAGCAGCTAGAACTGATCATGAAGGAAGTACCTCAGGCAGTCCATGATTAGTGAAATCGCAACCTACTAAGAATTCAAGCAGGACTAGGAATGTTGCAACACTCCATCCCTGTCCTACTACAGGTCATCGACAAGTGAAATCAATGCTGCTTCTGAATTATAGCCAAGCTGGAAAAGATCCAGGAGTTATTAAAGATGTTTAGGAGATGTTAAAGACTGTTGCATGCACCTAATCTGTTGGCTTTTCTGCACTTGGTTCCTAATAATGATATCCCAAGAATGCAATATTTAGATGCAAAAGTAGAAGATGTGGGGAATAGAGGAGACAACTTTTATTTGTCTAAAGTGGTGGCAGTTCTTGGAAAATTACATTTCCAAGGGACCAATCGCAATTAACATACCCCATGCAGCACATAAAATCTTGAAGAGAGAGGAGAAGAAAAACTCAGTATTTTGGACAAAGGTGAAGTTTATATATCTGAAAAATAGCTCACTTTATTTCCCAGATGATTCAGTCTAAGATGAAGAAACTTTCCTGTAATGTTCTTCTTTCCCCTGAAGTCCTGGTGAACCCTGGGAATTCAGGTAGCATGACCCTCAGATAACTGTCTTTTGTGATCTAGTGGCTGCTTCTAAGATAAGAATAAAAATTCTTTATTGGCCAAGTATGATTGGACACACAAGGAATTTGTCTTCAGTGCATAACCTCTTAGTCTACATAAAAATACATTCATCAAGAATCATAAGATACAACACTTAGTGATAGTCATAGGATACTAAATAGGCAATCAAAATCATACTAAGAAGCTAAATAAAACAATATAAATCATAAAGATACAAGCAACAAAGTTACAAGTCATAGTCACAAATGGGAGGAGATAAGTAATAGGAAGGATGAGAAGAAGAACAGTAATACAGCCTTACTAAATACTTTGAGAGTGTTGTGGGAATTAGTTGTTTAGTAGAGTGATGGCATGTGGGGGGAAAAACTGTCCTTGTGTCTAGTTGTTCTGGTGTGCAATGCTCTATAACCTTGTTTTGAGGGTAGAAGTTGAAACAATTTATGTCCAGGATGTGAGGGCTGTGAGCCAAGAAAAAATCAATTTCTTGCCAGTTCAAATGCAGAAATTATAATGATAAGATGACAAAAAAGAATGTGTTTCACTTGTCTTTTTGTGTCTCTCAAACTTTATATCCAACAGTACTTTAATATAGGTAGTCCTTGACTTATGACCATAATTGAGTCTTCATTTACAATCCTAAGTCATGCTGCTGATTAATAGCATTTAGCACTAGCACTTAGATTTCTATATCTCTTCACAGTGCTTAAGCCCTCCTTAAATGGTTTACAGAGTCAGCATATTGCCCCCAACAATGTGGGTCCTTATTTTACCCACCTCGGAAGGATGGAAGGCTGAGTCAACCTGGTGAGATTCGAACTGCCAAATTGCAGGCAGCCAGCAGGTAGCGGAAGTAGCCTGCAATACTGCATTCTAACCACTGTGCCACCACACTTCATGGACAGGAGTGGGATGCTACTGGTTCTACCCAGTTCTATAGAACCGGTAGCTGTGAAGAGCAGCTGACACCGAACCGATTCGGTATTTGGCCCACCTGCCTGCCTGGACTCTAAGCTGTCCTTTATTCCCTGCTTTTCTCTCCTCAGCTGCTTTGCGCAGCACAGCTGAGATTGAAAAAGCAGGAAACAAGCAGGAAATGTGCAGCGCTTATCAGCTATCCAGGCAGCACAGCTGATGATTTTTTGCAAACACTGCACACACGTTATGATTGTCTGCAGTTTGGAGAACCAGCAAATTGCTCCACTGGCTGGCCCCGCCTCTCCCCACCCACTCACTCCTTACCTGGCATGTGAGCCATCCAACTTGCCTGGTTTGATAAGTTGCTATTTTTCTTTTTCTTTTTTGCCCTGATCATCAACTCTTCTTCTCTGCCAGGAGATTTAGATTAGCTAGAAAACAGGAAATCCTTGAATTTCTTGCTTTCCAGCTAATCTAAAAGCAGAGCCGAACCTTAGGATTGAAGCTTTTCAGTGCAGACTCAGGTAGCTGATTGCAGATAGATAGTTCTCTAAGTGAATCTGTGATTCTGTGAGTAACTCAATCTGCCTGCCTGCTTTGCCTGCTTTTGGGTAAAAGTAGTTCTTTTTAAAATTAAAATTCAATATTTACATACATGGTGTGCTGTGAATTAATGTTACGAGTTTGCTTACAAGCAAATTTTATGAGTTCAGTTGCAAGCAAATTTTATGAGTTCACTTGCAAGCAAATTTTATGTGTCAGACTCAGGTAGCCTGTGATTCTGTGAGCAACTCAATCTGCCTGCCTGCTTTGCCTGCTTTTGAGTAAAAGTTGCTCTTTTTTATAAAAAAAATCAATATTTACATAAATATTGATAATATTTACATACAAGCCATGCCCACCCAGTCACATGCCCACCAACCCACACCCATAAATTAGGCCACACCCACAGAACTGGTTGTTAAGAAATTTGGATCCCATCCCATCATGGAGGTCATGAGCAGGTCATTATGTTATCACATTCAATTTTACAACCTTTTTTCAAGAGTCATTAAGAGTAGTTAATTTGGTGGTTGTATAGCAAATGCTGTATTTGTTAAGTGAATTCTGCAGTTGTTAAGTGAACTCATTGTTCGCTATGGATTTTTGTTGTTGTCAGAAACTAGAAGTAAATGCTGTTTTCAGGAAAAAATGTAAATCGAGGTCATCTGATTATAGGATGCTGCAAATGGCTGTAAATGTGAGAGGGTTGCCAAGTGCCTCAAATGCAGTCACATGACCATTAGGAGGGAGGTCATTGGATCTTTGAATTCAAATCATAAGTACTTTTTGGGGAGGTCTGCCATAACTCAAATGATTGTTAAGTGAACAGTCATAAATTGATGCCTACCTGAAACCCTGATGACAGGGACCTCTAAATCAATGAACTGCCTAATCTGAAATGATAATATTGCTTTTACAATATTAGAAATATAACAATCTGTTCAATTGAACAATGTCATTATTTAAAGGAGAGATCATAGATATGTAAAGTAGTTCGATATGTAACTTCAAACATGGTTGGTTAAATTCAGATTTTATTTTCATATCATTTACTTGTAACACATGTAAGTTCACTTCAGTGGTAAAATATTTATAGTAAACTATTCACTGTACCTTCCTGTATGACAGGTATAGGGAGGAGGTGAGAAGGAATAATAATATTAATAATAAACCAGAAAGATTGGCACAAGTAGCCAGTGGTGTCAAAATAACTCTTCTTCTGACCTGAAGTTCCAGAAAATGGAATATCACCTCAGAATGAAAAGCCAGTGTAAATGGCAGGCAGCTCCAATTTGGACTGAGAAATTTTGTTATTCGTTCTGCTTTACCATATTTATCTGTTTCTACTACTGAATGAGCAATCCCCATTATGTTATCCCACTGATCTGAACATCATGTACTTTTGTCTTAGCCTATCAGATCTAAGTCCTTGGACTGCCAAGCTCTATCTTTTAGGTCTCATTCTATCTGTCAGGATTTGAGAGCTATAGAATATCTGATGGCTCTATTGCGAACTTGTGGCACTCTAAATAACTTTCCTCATGTGTTTTCTTAATTTACTATCTCCACTTGCATCTTGCTCCAGAATTGCCATTAATATATTTCCCTAGCTCAGCTCAGCATCAAATTGACTGCAACCAAAATGTTTGATGAAACAATGAAGGAAGCTTTAGCATTGATTAAACTGCTGGCAGTTTGTGTCTCTTTGCTGGTTTTTAATTACTCTTTTGGATCTCTTCCAGCTCTTCTTTATGCAACTATTTTTGGAAACGTCACTACAATTTTCCAACAAATGTACGCCAACACCAATCGCTACCATGAGATGTTGAACAATGTGAGGGATTTCTTAAAGTTATACCAAGTCCCCAAAGGCCTTAGTGAACGTGTCATGGATTATATTGTCTCCACATGGTCAATGTCTAAAGGGATCGATACAGAGAAGGTACGAATGTGTGAGTGAAACTCCAGGGATAGAACATTTGAACATTGGATAATATACTAAACACAAAGGGAATGATGTAAACATGCAATTTTCATTTCTATTCTTGAAATCGTTTTATTATGATGAATGCATGACTCAAAACCAAGGGGCTGAAATAGAAAAATAGAGTTTAGAAGCAATACAAGGCATTTAAAAGCATTGGATTCTTACAGTGTTACTACAATTCAGAGATGGTTTGACTGTCTCATACAGACAGACCAGATTCATGAAGCAAAGTGGCAGAGAGTGACACCCTACAGTACATATGGGAGCAGCTCCCTGCCTTGTTTTAATCACTTCTTTGGCCCTTCATGTATCTTCTGCATATTTGCCTCAAAGTGAAAATGTAGACAAGAATGAGTAGCCTTGCATCAACATTCGCAAACCCCAAAATATCACCTTTAGCACTTTGCTTTTACCCTGAAACTGATTCTGCCATCTCATAGATAGAAGATGGATAGAATTCTTTATTGGCCAAGTGTGATTGGACACACAAGGAATTTGTCTTGGCGCATATGCTCTCAGTCTACATAAAAGAAAAGATACATTCATCAAGAGTCAAGAATCATAAGGTACAACACTTAATAATAGTCATAGGGTACAATAAGCAATCCAATCATGCTAGGAAACAGTCAATAAAAATCGTTAGGATACAAGCGACAAGGTTACAGTCATACAGTCATAAATGGGAGGAGATGGGTGAAAGGAACAATGGGAGGATTAATAGTAATAGTAATGCAGACTTAGTAAATAGTTGGACAGTGTTGAGAGAATTATTTGTTTAGCAGAGTGATGGCATCCGGGAAAAAACTGTTCTTGTGTCTCATTGTTCTGGTGTGCAGTGCTCTATAGAGTCGTTTTGAGGGTATGAGTGCTTTGTACAAACTTGCTCTGGTTTTTCATCTTTGATTCCCAAGTTTTTCCATAAGAAAATTGATTCACACTACCAGTATCAGGTACTCAATACCATCAATCCTACACAGTTACAGACTACAATTTTCTTTCAGACTTTTCCTGGGAACATGGAGAGATGAAGCATGGGATGAAGAGGACCAAAATACATATTTGTTTAGCCTTTTCCATAACTTCTTTGTTATAAAATTCTTTTGCATAACTTTTCCTTCAAGCATTCTATCTCAATTACTGGCGATAGCTATGTGATGCTTCTGGCTGTTCATGTTTTTCGTAAATTCGTATAGTATGCATTCTGTGTGGCATTTCCATTCATTCACTATGCCTTCCCAAAGTCATTGCATGAAGCAAATATAATTGCTTATTCTTTCTCCATAGCTGCATGGGAAAAGTAATGCAATGCAATATTTAGCTGGAATTTGTTTCAGTGAGCCATGAAAACAAGTCCTGTTACCTTCACAGCCAATCTCTATTTCAAAAGTAAGCTCATTCTTTACAGTGAAATTCATTAAATTACAGTATTATCCAGTGCTGCTTCAGATAATATATTTCAGCAGCACATTGCTCAGTTATTAGAAATTTAATTCCATACTTTACAGTTCAAATAATAAAAGGATCAGGGAGCAATCACATGTGCCTTCAATAGAGAAAAAAAATCTATATTTAAACTTTTTGTAATAGGGTTCCTATGGTGACAGAAAAATGATAATCAGAAATGTGAGGGTTTAAAAATAACCGTTGGCCAATAAAAGGTAGATCTTAAAATAGTTTACATATATTTATCCATAAGGAAACAAATAAAATTTTATGAAAAAATAATTATACCCTTAGGGTTACACTAAATCAGAAGTAAGCAAACTGTTCTAAATGAAGTGCTACATTCAAGTTTTGTTTAAAACACCAACGGTTACACTCTGAAAAATGAAATAGGCAATGAAAAGTGTAACCTTGTAAAAAAAATATGAGTTTTGTCCAAGACTTGTGGTATTGCTTTTTAGTTTGGTAAATGAATACATAATAACTATTTAGTATGGAGTCTATGCTTGATTCTCTTTGTTTGGTTTTAGTACAACATATCTTGTGAATCATATCATAGATGATTTTCCACATCTGTGATTCTGTCATGGAAAATGGAGTACTATACAAAAGATGAACAAACAGCTTTCTAATACCTTTTTGCAAATAATAGCAGCAATGTGTTGGGTGTGTGGTTGGCTGTGTGTATATGTAAAAGAGAAAGAGTGATTTGGATTTAGGTGTGAATACATGGGGTGGTAAATTAATCTTCCATTCTCTGTTGTTTCCCAATTTAATTGTACTTAGTCAGATCTTGTACCTCATTCTTGTACCTCATGACTAATCATACTTAGTCATGAGGTACAAGATCTGGAAAATCTATTATTTTACAATGAACTGTTTAGTTAGCTGCTATAATCAAAGCATTCTACTGTAACAAGATTTCTAAGATAAGACATAATATCTTCAATTCCTGGATTTTTTTTTTTTACTAGATTCTCCAATTACCAGAAAAGAAATTATTGTTTTATGGCAGTTCAACTAAATCAATAGAAATACATTCCCGAGTTCCTATCTTGGGAATCTTTATTTAAAAAAAAAAAATAAAGATCACAGACAGTGTAAAAGACCTCTGTTTGAATAGATCTTCATACTGTTGTTGATGACCAATTAGATCTTGGACAACAATCATGGAGGCTGAGTCTAGCTTACAGTTCCTGGGCCATCCGAGGAAGCTCCTTACATGATTGGTGACCATAATTTGTGGTCTTTTTTTTTTTGTAGTAGCTATAGAGGACAATTTTATCAATACTTGAACAATTTTGCAGTTTTTAGTTCAATAAATTTGCCAAAATGAAATTATCATTTTATATTTGAACTTTTCAGAGCTTTGCATTTGAGCTTTCTGCCTCATCTTTTTACTTAAGTTATTACGATATGGTTTTCTACTATCAGATCTTGAAGTTTACTTTCTCTGCAATGTTTTGTAAAATGAAGGCACATGCATGCATGTATATGTTATGCATGAAATGTGTATATTTGTGGAAAATATGAAAAACTATTATGAAAAATTGGTTGCAATAAATATGTGTTCTATATTAGGCAAGCACATATTAAATAGCTGCAGGCTGATAAAAATGATTAGAATAAATTGGAGATGTGAAAAGTTAAAAGCTGAGAGTAATGGGTACATTTTCGTTTTATGTCTTAAGTTCTCTATTTTTCATATTGAGTTTCTCAGGGAATATGGTAGTTAATCGATGGGAAAAGAGTCTGAATCCAATGAAAGGGAATTAAATGTTTTTGGTATCAGGCAAGAGTCTCTAACTGCTTCAGATGGACTTTGAAGTTCCTAAAATAATGTTCATCTAGTCAAGCAATTATTGTAGATATCACATCTAATTTCTAATAACACTCCAATATTTGCTTCTTTTCTACCCAGAACAACCAGGACATAGATCCAATAAAATTATTTATCATTAAATAAAATCTTAAGAAGGCCATTTGTGGTGCATACATTTCCCACTTTGCCACAAAGTAAATCATTTTTACACCAAACCAGCATAGAAGGTTAAGCTGTGAAATAGTAGATTGCCAAATATCATCTAATAAGCTTCATAGAAGATCCAAGACAGCAGTCAATCTGCATTTCCATCTAAATATTTATTTGTCAACCACAATTAGTTTGAAAAGTTCAACTGCAAAGACATATCCGTTCCAGACACCATCATGAATGTGGTGAATTTAAGTTTTTTTTTAATCCAACCTTATCTTAAGAGCCAGTTTAGTCAAGTGGTCAAGGCACCAGGTTAGAAGGTAGGAGGTTGTGAGATCAAGTCCTGCCCTAATTATTAAGGTCAGTTTAGTGATCTTGGGCCAGTCACTCACTCTTAGCTTAACTCACCTCACAGGGATGTTGTTGTACAGAAGATAGGAGAAGGAAGGTGTGTTGGATATGTTTGCTGCTTTAAGTTATCTGTAAAATAATAAATAATAAAGTTTATTTGTAAAAAATAATAACAGTGAGATATAAGTAAATTAAAAATAAATTAAAATTCCTGAAATAGTCCACCAAAACCTGGCAAAGTAGCCAAACATGCTCTTCAAATAACATCTCTTAAATGGCTATAAGAATATTTACTATATTCTCAATTCAGTTAAAACACTTTCCTTGGATATGAACTTCTTAACTTTAATTGAAACACACTTGGCAGCAAGTGAAATATTAATAGGCAACATCTCTAACTATGGAAAAATAGGTCATAACAGAGAACTGAGAACTCTGTGTGCTCAGATGAGAGTAACAATTAAGGTAAGAAAAAAATAGCTGTGTGCTTTTTTATTTGTCTGTTTGTGAAACATGTACAATATAACAAGTATAGTTATGAACTTAAACATGAACAAAGGAAATAAATACAAATAAATGGGGACAGTAAGCGCACGCTGGTGCACTTATGCACGCCTCCTTTAAGGACCTCTTAAGAATGGGGTGAGGTCCATGGTAGACAGTTTGAGATTGAAGCTGTGAGGGTTTGAGGCTGTAACAACAAAGTCAGATAGAGCATTCCAGGCATTGACCACTCTGTTGCTGAAGTCATATTTTCTGCAATTGAGTTGGAAGCGCTTTACCTTGAGTTTGTATTGATTGTTTGCCCATGTATTATTGTGGTTGAAGCTGAAGAAGTCATTGACAGGTAAAATGTTGCTGCAGACAATTTTTTGTACTATGCTTAGATCAGACCATAGGCAGTGCAGTTCCAGATTGTCCAAGTCCAAAATTTCAAGCCTGGAGGCATAAGGAATTCTGTTGAATTCTTGATTACAGTTGGGTTATAGTGATAGAAAGGTCTAGAGAAAGGAATTATGGAGCAGCTTGCCTATAATGGTTACCTGATTGGACCACATTTACTATAGTCCTCCCTTGATGGATTTCCATGGATGGAAGGAGGGGAGGGAGGGAGGGAGGGAGGAAGGACAAAGAGAACATTAGTGCTTTTGTGTGGCTTTTTTAAAAAGAGGAAAAGACAAGACAGAACTATTGTTTCCCTGTGGCCAAAGTGGAAGAATGAGTTGTAATCCCAGAAAGAGATTTTTTTTAAGGAGGCTTCATTTGCAGCCAACCATGGGAGATAAGCAGCTTGAGGTTGCAATGTGACAAGGCCTTTTTTTTTATAGTAGAAAATTAGTTGTCTTCCTTTTGGGATGCAGGTGACAAAGGACAATGTTATACTGTTCTTTCCTCAAGAAATTATCAGTGGCCTGTATTGAAACACAGGCAAGTTAATTGTGTGGATCAGCCCTTTTTTACCTGGTAAGCAATTTACCATTTTTTTAGTGCAGCCATAGACCTGATGTTATTACCTCCAGGATGGGCATGGTGTGTGTGTGTGTGTGTGTGTGTGTGTGTGTGTGTGTGTGCAGTGTTTCCAGGCAGAGATCAGGTTCTTCCATCATTTAACCTAAAGGATGGACAAACCTGTCAATTCTATTTTTCATGTCTCATTTAGTATTTAAACATTTTGTTCAGTTCAGATTCTTTGTCAATTTATGAATTTGATAATCAAAGATCTTCATATTTGTATCAATGTTCTTCAGTAGTCCAATGTATGCATTTTTGTTCATACTTTTTTGAATATGTAGACGTTGGAAAGCAGTTTTCCCTCTAATGTTTTTTTGTCCATTTGTTTTTTTCAACAGGAAATCTTCTTTCTTTTTTCAATAGGAAGCCTTCCTTCCATTGTAGATTGTTTTATTTTTCTAACCATATGACAATATTTGTGAATCTTGGTATCTCTCACTATTCTTTTATAGTTTAGGGAGAAGCAACTCTAGTAAAAAATTGAAGCTTTATATAAAATCTATTAAAAATTAAATGAAATCAATGTCATATGCTTTCCAAACTCTCATTACCAAGGAAACAATTAGAAAACCATGGCATTTAGGAATGGATTTTTCCTTAAATTAGTGCAACTATAATTTCAAAAAAAAAAAAAGCATGCTTCCTTGTAAATACAAAACATTTCTATTAAATTTAGCAGTTTCAGCTACTTTATGGTACTTGCATTCTGGTCCCACAAACCTTTATCAACATAAAAGACCTGTTTTTTTTTTTTTCAAATGAGAAACCACAATTCTTTTAACAAGAACCAATACTTTAGAAGAGTTTCGTTTGCTTGCGGTTATGCCTAAACCACATACTAAAAAAGAAGTGGCCCTTTTTATAGCCTTGCATTTAAAGCAGCCAGTTTCATAAAATGAAAGAAGTCTGCAAAGCTTTAGAAGGATTTGTACGATCTTAAATGTACAGCTTGCTTGCTTACTTGACTTGTGGAGGTGAAATGGATTCCTCTGGAAGGAAGAATTATCAAACAGCATGCTTGATACATTGGGGTGGAACGTGGATAACATTTATCCAGCAACTAATTAGTTTTGTAGCAATTCCAGCCTCATATATTCATGAAACCACTGGAGAGAGAAACAGAGCAGTACTGGATCAATCCATATGACCCTGCAAGGTATACGTTCAAAACCAATGTCAATGGTTAGTTCCTGTGCTCTGTGTATCTCTCAGACTGACTGGGAATCGAAGCAGAATTTGCTGAGATTAATTTGAAATATATACCTCCTTATTGATGGTGGATTGGAAAGAAAACAGAAAATTAAGAAGGAAAAGGCTTTTTACAAACTTTAGAGGATTGACAATTACATTTTAGCTTCCATGCAGCACAGAAGGTTGAAATGTCAGTGAGAGGAAGAGGAAGGAATTTTAGCTGGCCTTGTGATTTGGAGGACTGCTATAAGCAAAGGTTGAATATAGAGATTAAAACCATTTTTGTCTAGGTCCAAGTGGGAGCAAGTCTGGGGATTTCACTGCAACTGATCAAAAGCAGGAAGGAAATCTGCAGACTGTTACTCCAAATTATTACTGTTCTTATTTAACATATTACCAAATGAAATAATTATACAGAAATCAGAAAGGGCCAAAAAAAGTGTCTCTGCTCTTCAGAAACATGCAAAATGAGAGATCTTTTTGCCATTTTTAAAAATAATACAATGCAACTTCTGTTCACCCTCAAGTCTAATCCATTTTTTAAAAAAATATAAAAGCTGAATTAAATTTGGATAGATTGGAACTTTGTCTCCAAAATGGGCAGAGTGGACCCTACTGTTGTCTTGTGATACCTAACTGACCAGCCAAACTCTAATTAATAGAACTTCTGTTTGAAGACATTCTTTATCTGAAAGGCTGTCTAGTTCAAATTCATTTTCAAACTTATACACCTAGAATAGACAGCAGAGCCTTTTAAATTTATCTGTCAAGAGTTAGAACAGTCATTTCATTGACATGAGCAAAAGCCTGCTCTACTATAATAATGTGCATTATATTTCAAATCAAACCATAATTTGAATTTATAGATTAATTCAAACGTGCATTCTAATGGAAATCTTGTTTTCCTTTGATAATGTGCAAATGACAATTTTGTAGATGAATTTTTGGAGATTGAAAAACCATTCTTCCTGCATTCTGCCTCTTAGTCTGCTTGCTCTGTCTGCCTATTGAAAGGGACAGTTATAGCACTCCCTTATTTTACCCACAACAAGAGCTCTATAAAAATGAGAGGTGATGATTTGCTCACATTTGTTCCACAGTTTTTTTCATGGTGAGGTTAGAGTGAAGATGGTCTAGATAGTCCCAACTCCTGCCAATTTCACTCAAATGATTTTAACATTTAACACAGCATTTAGCTATGAGATCACTAGGAGCCAAGCCCAGTATGATGGCACCTAACCATCTGGAGGAAGAAAAAAAATGTTACTGCAGACATCTGCAGAGTAATGTCAGTAAGGGATAGATTTACAATGAAAAGCATAATAGGTAGATGAGGATCATAGATCTAAGAATGAAGAATCCTCAAAGCAGCTTCTGGCTACTACTGGACAATTGTTTCTTTCTGTGTCTATCCCAAATCCTAAGATTGATGAATAAATTTAGTTGTAGATTGGATTCTATTTCTATTAATTGAAACACTGTTTTTCAGGCATTCCTTTAAGAGCCTGCTCATGCTGCTTCCGTTTTTAATCAGCTCTTAGATTGTTTTGGTGCTATTAATCTGCTCTTGATTAATTGCAAGTTTATCTGAAACCATTCTTAAAAAGAAATCCATATTACAAACAAAAAAGAAAGAAAATAATTAAGAACAAATTGGCTTTGGAGAATTAGGGAAGAGAGACTTATTTATCCAAATATTTACTGTATGTGTTATTTGAAAGTTAGTCCTGCTGAATTCAATTAAGTGTTAAATGTTTTCATTTTTTTCATTTAAAACTTGAGGATGGCACCTCCCCAAAACAAAGTATTCTGAGCAACTTACAATATAAAAGCAATTCATCTATAAAATAAAACAATGGAGATTTAAAATCAATGTGAAGTTGATTGAAGTTACAACAAGTTTCACATTGATTATATATGAGTATATGGGGAAGAAGTGTAGTCTCTGCAAAATGTATGCACAACTATTCAAATTCTTGGTTCCAACATTTCTTTTGTAATAATTCATCAAAAAGCATTAAGAAAAATTATCATCTATTGTAGTCTCTGTAAATGATACATTTACAATATGGTCAGGCAATTCTAGCTTGTCTTAAAAGATCTGATTAAGTAAGTATTTTGGAGCTCTTTAAACAATATAATGTATGAGGGTGGAGGTTCATTCTCCAAGCTTGTGGATTGATTTCTACTCCTGAGCTACAGATATTTGGCATTATCACAAATATAATGTATTAAAATAGTTATGTATGTATGTTAACCTTCATACTGTCTGTTTAAATTACACTCATTGTCATGTTTTTCCTCTCCCTCCAGGTCCTTTCAATATGTCCCAAGGACATGAGAGCGGATATTTGTGTGCATCTCAATCGGAAGGTTTTTAATGAACATCCAGCTTTTCGGCTAGCTAGCGATGGCTGCCTGAGAGCACTTGCAGTGGAATTCCAGACGATCCATTGTGCTCCCGGAGACCTTATCTATCACGCTGGTGAAAGCGTAGATGCCCTCTGCTTTGTTGTCTCAGGATCATTAGAAGTCATACAGGATGATGAGGTGGTGGCCATCTTAGGTAGGATGATGAAGTGGTGGCCATCTTGTATGGCCACTATTACTCTGATACCAATGGGGAATTTTTGTACACTTTAATGTGATAAGGCAATTGCTTGAAATGTCAAGGTGGTACTATTGCCCAGTTCTTGTTGTTTAGCAATTTCTATTTAGAAATGTTGTTATAGGTAAAATCCATTGATACTTTATTTTTTGACAAACTTCAAAAGTTTAGACGGTGTTTGAATCTATTTCTCACATTTAGCTATTGTGATTAATTCTTATGTATTTTTTATATAAAGTAAATATTCATATCTTCCGTTTCCCCCGAAGGTTCATAAATACATTAAATTTTTTCCCTTGGTTTTTAACCACAAGAATCATGTAAGGGCTTGGGCTGAAACAGCAATTAATCAATTGATCAGCCTACTTCCCCTGCCCCACCCACTATCATGGGTCACATGATAGTGGTATTCCAATATCACAGGAGTTGCCACAAAGAAGAGGGAGTCAGTCTATTCTCCAAAGCACCTGAAGTTAGGACAAGAAGCAATAGATGGAAACTAATCAAGGAGAGAAGCAACCTAGAACTAAGGAATTTCTTGATAGTTAGAACCATTAATCAGTGGAACAACTTGTCTCCAGAAGTTGTGAATGTTCCAGTGCTGGACATTTTAAAGAAGAGATTGGAACAACCATTTATTTGAAATTGTATAGGGTTTCCTGCTTGAGCAGGGGTTGGACTAGAAGACCTCCAAGTCCCTTCCAATTCTTTTATTCTGTTCTGTTCTGTTCACACCAAATTTGTTTACTCTATTAGTAAAAGTCATTTTAAAAAATCCTTCTTTGTGCACTCATACATTGTGAGAGTGTAATTATTTCAAACTAGTAATGGGCACAAGGTCGCTTAGATGCAAACATTAATTGTTGACTGTTAGGAGCTGCACATAATTTTCTGTTCCCATTTATATTATGCACAATATTAAATACAATATTAAATACAATTAAGAAAAAAAAGAATACATGTTATTTTTCTCCTGCCCATGACTTGCTTTAATATAGTAATTAGCTAGAAATGTAACATGTTTAGCTATTGCGTGAGCTTGCTAATGCTGTGGTAATGAAGTGTGTGTGTAATATAATAATCGCCTCCCAAAGGAAACATCATAAAGTATGCTGCTCATCCCATCAAAATGAGAGACATCATTCTAACACTAATCCATCAGAACAGAAATAATTCATTCATAAATACTGCAAATTGTTTGCTTGGTATAATGTTGATTTTCATAGGGAAAAAATAAACATACCCATCTCATTTAGATTTAACAATACCCATCTCATTTAGGTTTAAAATGACATAGTCTTTACTTGGGGAAAAGTTTAAGTCTGTTGATGGGGAATGAAACTTTAGAGGAGAGGTTTCCAAACTTGGCAACTTTAAGACTTGTGGACTTCAACTTCTGGGAGTTGAAGTCCACAAGCCTTAAAGTTGTCAAGTTTAGGGACCCCTGCTTTGCAGCATAACTTTCTTTGGGCCAAGGCCACATTTGATTACCTGCTTCCCAAAGTAAAGAGCCAATAATAAACATTAAGATTTGTTTAATTCAGTTTAACTATAAGCTTAATTAAAACTAGATGGATCAGTTAAATACAGTCATTAAGCTTAAAGCCTATGTATTAAATAACCATACATATTAAATAAATATCCTCTTTCTTCATTTCAAAACTTACAATTTGATAAGTAATTTGGAAAATCTTTGATGGCTACATTCAGGATTTCAGAGGCCATGAGATCCTGGGATCTAACATTATGCAGAATCATCCTAATGTTAACTGCCCTAGTAAAGCATTTTTCAAAACAGGGAGTGCCAAAACATTTACTTAAGGGTTACTTCTCTCACTGTTTCTCCCTCATGAGGCTGATTTCAGGTGGGATTTAGGAATCATCCTTATTTGATCTTCTCATTTTTAAAATCAGTTGTGTGGGCAAAGTCAGTCTCTGTCCTGAGGTGATCTAGCTTCTCTTTTAGCAAACTTGGTGGCCCTCAATCTACTTTAAACAATCTGCAAGGAATCAATCAATCTTTCCTCAAAGGAGGATCCTTCTCTCTTTTCTGTCATCCTGATGACAAATGAAGAAAAAATGAGAGGGAAGGGAGAAATGATGAGAAAATGAAAGAGAATGAAAAGAGAATGGAAGAACGAAAAAAAGTAGAAAGAAATCATGGCCATAAGCACTTTAGTGTCTGGGCTTACAAGAGTATTCTTCACTCATGTTGCTCAGATAATGTGGCTCTACATAGAAACCAGTTCTTAGAATTGTTTTAGCCCTATTATTTCCCAAGAGTCCATTGATGGATTACACCCTGTTCCTCATAGTTATAGTTACAGTTACTTTCATTTACCTTGCTGTAGTTACCATACATGAAAGTCATCTTAAAAAATAAAAATAAAAGATGTGTACAAGAACAAGCAGAGCTGCACATTTTCTGCTATATATAATGTCACATTCTTACTTGGGGGAGGATACTCCATCCTATTAGAAAATATACAAACTAAGATGGTTGTAGAATAAAATACTTTGGATAGAATGTGGAGATCTAAAGCTTTCAAGTGCACATCCTTCTTTCTAATTTGGCATCAGAACGGTGTCACGTCCCATTTATTTACAAGCAATTAGCAAAGAATGAATGGAATACATCTGTAGAAGCAGAAATTTCTACAAAAAATGTGCCTATTAGGGCAAATTGTGTTAAAATGTGCACAAAAAGGGAAACTTAACAAGAGAAAGGACTACATTTGAGTGTGTATGTTAAATCACAGATCGATGTGGAAATTGGATGGAGCAGAGTTGGAGTGAGACCAACTAAGATCAAAATTAGACAAAATTGTCCACTACTGGTTTATATTGATTTGATATATTAGATGGCAGTTGCTTTCTGGAGATAACAGCCAACTAATGCCTATACTTTTAGGGGGGAATGATTTACTATGGACCAACTAAAGGTCTTTTGCCAAATAAATGCTGACTTTTAACCAATTGCTATTAATTCCTTTGCTACAGTTTGCTATGGAAACATATTAAGACTAGTAAATTTTAGAGCATATTGAGTAAAAGTGTCTGCTTCTTTTGATTTATGGAATCACTTAACATTCATAGGGCATTATAGAGTACAGTTTTGGGACTTCATTAGAAACCAGATTATTTTTTTTCAACATCACTAGGTAATTGCTGTTAAAGGAAAAAGTCAATAGTCTCACAATTGTCTTGATTAAATAATGTCCAGTTATGCTTCCTAGACTTCCTAAACATGCCAATCTAAGAAGCATTCCTCCAAATTGCCTTTGGCTGCAATTCATATTCTTCTGTGTTGTGAAAAGAAGGTAGGAGGCTAAGTATCACACTTTCCTATTGCAAAGCAAAGGATTGGAGACATTTATACATTTGTAAAACCTTTGTTCTGCTGCAGTGGCATGTGGAAGAAAAAGAAAAGGATTTTAGTTTCAGTGATTCACAGCAGCCTGTAATGAGCTACCACCCAATTGCGTTTAAGTTAGTGCTAAAGACATCTAAGCTACTGGCCATTCTTTTATCTTATGAAGGCAAAAATCCATAAATTCATTTGCTCCAGAACATGCATGATTGTCATACATTTAGCATGTCCACATTCACCTTTGTTTCCATATGGATTATGTCCTCAAAGTTCCAGTGCTAAGCTACCCTGGGTCTTCCATATCACTTCTGCTGCTTATTCTTGGGTGGCCCAGACCTTCTGTGGTACCGGATCTATTGAAACAAGAAAAGTGATAATGAAGCAAAACAGACAGTGACTTCCTAAAGCATAGTCAAAGAGAGAAATGTTAAACCAGGGCTGTCAAACACACAGCCCATGGGCCGGATGCATCATGCAATGGCCATGCCCATGCCCGGTTTAGCGAAGGGGAAAAAAGTTGTGATATGTCACGTGATGATACCGTGATGATACGAGTTTGACACACTTGTGTTAGACTAAGATTCAGATATAACATTATTATGTCGCACTAAAGCTTCCTGTTCTCCCAAGCCTAGCAAGTGTTCAATTTAACACCTGTAAAGACAAGCCACTTTTTAAAGATGCCAGTAGACCATTTTGGTTTGGCACCTTGATATCCTTGAGGAAAGAATATGGCATGCTTTATTAAGTTACATTAAATGAAACAAATTGAAGAGCAAATGGTGTAGATTGATGTTCAGCAATAGTAATTTTGCTTTTCTCCCATGTATTTCAACATTTCAACCTTTATTTGATCCGTGACTGATAAGAATTTCAGTCCATCCTAGCTTCAATAGAAGCAGCCTTAATTATCTTTCACTCTTTTCATCATCCTGAGTAAACCACCCTGTGAATTACTTATTATGTCACCAAGAATTCTGATAGAAAATATAAATTGATCTCAAAGGGAATTGCACAATAAATAGTTTGACCAGGACTTCTCCTTAACGTACTTTGTCAAATTGCTTAGCTGCAGTGATTCATAAAGCTGGTTTGTCTTTCAAACAACAGAAGAAAGCTGGTTGGCAGTGGAGCAGTTGCAGAGATGGAAGAATCTGTGCCAGAGGAAAGAGTTATACATCCTTGAGTTATACTGCATGAAATGGTAGAGACAAAATAAAAAAAAACTGTTGGGAAGCACCCAACCTGACAGGTGAAGCATAAAAGATGATGTGCTGAGCTAATTTAGAGTCCCTGCACAACTCTAAAAGGGGTAGAACCAGCCTTCCCTGAATTCCTGGGAGCCTCATCTAATTGTCAGAAATGAAAGCAAATATACATGTCCCAGGATAATGTTGCAGGATCCAATCCAGGTCGGTCACTGGGACTAGAACTTTCAGACTCATGCTCAGGGAAGTTCTCTCCACTGGGATGTGAGCTATTCCATGTGTAGTATTTATGTGGTGCCTGGTTGGGTGTGTTTTCTTATTGGTTGATTGGAGTGTTGATGGCTATTAATTGTTTCCAAGGGAAATCTGCCAGATTGGGG